GGATGTGATCTGACCTGATTTTAAAAATGAACGCTTAACATGAAACGACTAGCCAGACGATGGCTATGACTGACGCGCCTTTACAGCGAACCCGCGTACAATCAACTAGAAACTCAAAGGCAGAGACTGAGAGTGACTGTTTAACCGTCTATCAAGTCAATGAAAAAGGGTGTCATATAAAAATTTTTATTACCTGTGAATTTCCTGCAATTAAACTATCTAAAATATGGGTTCAGATGCCGGAGTATTTTAGCAAACGTTAAGTTTTACTAAAACCGAAATTCATGACACTTTGTAGTCTGTCTCCCCTTGCTCGCTTTTTAGATCTAACAATGGCCATTTGACGCTGCTCAAATACAGTACAGTCCTGATATGCTCAAGTAGCCCTGTAGGCGACTGGGAATCTACCGATGGGAAAACGCTGCCTAAAATTCGCTTTGGTAAAAGCTATGCGCGATTTAGGCCATTTATGTTTATTTGGTGATAAACAAACACTACCGGTTTCCGAAATATTGCTTCATGACTGGCAAGACGCTGCTCTACAAAATGTAGTGATTCCAGAGGTACTAATTTGGTGCATCTGATCGAATAAGCATAACTAAGGCCAGCCTCAATACCTTTTCGTTATCCCGGAGTAATGAGGTAGTCCAATTCGCTGCGAAATATCGATTTAGAGAAATAAGTACTTTATTTATGTAAATTAATTCAGTAGTTTATTCATCTTTATATTCGCCATCCAGCTGGACGCGAGATCTTAATGCTTCTTTGCATTTTTGATTCAGCATTTTTATAATTTCGAGCCTTCTTGTCTAGGAATCGGCTCTTTCAATTCAAAAGGTAAACGGCTCGACTAAGCGATCTGTAATTGTGATGTTGAAAATGATTCCGGATCCTCCTGTCATAGCCTCCTTTCGGTTCGATTAATAAAACGGAGTCTTTTTTATGAAATAGTTAGTTCTGTCAATCCTGTTTATCTGTGCTGAATATTTAGAGGCTATTAACAAGTCTTTGCGACTATCATAATGGTTGGAGAGAATGACCTGTCTTCATTTCATAATGCCATGAAATCTTTTATTGTTGCATGTCAGCTGAGGATGCTGAAATCGAGCCTCACTTAAAGAAACTGCATAATTGCAATTTTGGTGCAACCAGCAGAGAAATGGCGTCAGATACAGCGAATATCATGGCAGCATGGTGTTTTAGTGTGGCCACTCCAAAGCGCGCGAGACTTATGACTATGTTTTCGGATGCCTGTGCTTTACGGCTAAAATTCGCCTTGACCATCCTGGGAGCTGACTACGAATAAGCCTACGGTGTAACCGTAAATTAAAAATTAAAAATATTGCCGTAGTTCAGGAGGCTTTCGAGGTTGCACCGGTCGCCAACATCCCCGCTAAGGATTGAGTCGGACCCATTGAAACCTCGGTGTGAAGCGAGGTGAAAATATGCAGATAATTTT